GCTTCAATCCAGTTGTATTACTCATTTGTGAACTCTGAATCTACAGAAAAGAAGATTATCTCAGACAATATGTACAAAATGTGTTGTATATATGACCCTCGTCTAACACCCTGTTTGGATCAAGTTAAATGTGAGGAGCTTGGAACATAAAAGTTGAAGTCCATAATAAAGACCTCACTAAATTTGTATAAAAAGCACTTAACAATGTCTTTTGTACCTGTTTCATGTCACATAATAGCTTTCTTTTCTTCTGTAGGATAGCAAGTGGTTCAAATATAAGCTTGTTGCGACTAAAATTGCATGCATGTTTTTCACTAAAAAGTGAAAAATCTTTGTATCAGACCATACTGTCAGCAAAAAAAGTTGAATGCAAGAGTCTTTTTGTGCTCAGATTTATTGTATCATGTCACCTGAGTATAGAAATGAACGAAAAGACACAAATTTTAATTTCCTATAGCTTCAATATGCATTTTTGAATGTAAATATGTGCTACGGCCTAAATTGACCCTAAATTATTTTCAGTCTTACTTGGCCTAAGACCCTTTTAAACTAATATGATATGTTTTTTGTGAGTTTTCTTTCCATTTAAAGTACATTAAATATATATGTAAGGATTATTTATAACCAAAAAGCTTTACAAATTTAAAATTGCTGGAAAATATTACATCTTCATGTAAGGCCCCCCTTCATTGGAAAACCTCCATTTTTAGGCACAGGCTCATACAAATTTGACTTTTTAATAATTATGATAAGTCTGATAAATCAAATGAGTACTCAATTGCTTTTAATACATAATATTTTATATATTAAGGCATTTCAAAAGTATTTTTTTGCAATATTTAAATTTTTTAAGCCCCAAATGTTGATAGTTGAAATTTTTCAATTTTAATGTCTACATTTAACACGCAAAGTTGAATATAGAATTAGTCATATTGTCTATAATATATGTCCTATTGCCATGAAACTTTGTAGGCAGTCTTATAATTTATTAAGCTTTGGTCATACCTGAAGTTTCATTGAGATTGGTCAACTTTTTCTACCCTATTAGGTCCGAGTACACAGTTATCGTCCTTTGATTTTCGTTTCTCTAGTGTTGACAGTGTGTTACTTGCCATTTTTTTTATACCCCTTCCAAATTTATTTCTCCATGTTTTATGACTCAAATAGCAAGTAGGGGGGTGAAATGACACTGTAAAAAAATTTGGGTCATGAATTTTAAAGTAAAGTAGTGATTTGGTCCAGCTGAAAAATGTTAAAAATTAGCACTTCGGAAGCTGTCAAAAGATTTGAAGACCCCCTTAACATAAAATTGTCCATATTTTGAGTTAGAGCCGATGAAGTTTTCTATAATTTTGATATAATTTGTCCCAAAAGTAGTACAACACACTGTAAAAATATTATTGAGAAAGCGCAGGTGGGATTTTTTTAATTTTCATTTATTGTCTAAAAAATGCACTACGAAATAACTGTGTACTCGGACCTAAGAGGTGAAATCAGGAAATATAGAATCTGTACTTTGGCAACTTCCCTGAATGATTTGATGGTGTCAATTTGTCAAATAGCATAAAACTAAAGGATTTAAACTTTTATTTGATAGAATTTCTGCAAAAATGACCAATTTGGGCATATTATGGTCAAAATAAGCATTTCATAGCTTTTTCAATTTTGATGCATAAGTGGCATTCTGACTTTCTATCTGACAGGTTTTTATGTGTCAATATTTGTGTTTCTATGCTTCAATCCAGTTGTATTACTCATTTGTGAACTCTGAATCTACAGAAAAGAAGATTATCTCAGACAATATGTACAAAATGTGTTGTATATATGACCCTCGTCTAACACCCTGTTTGGATCAAGTTAAATGTGAGGAGCTTGGAACATAAAAGTTGAAGTCCATAATAAAGACCTCACTAAATTTGTATAAAAAGCACTTAACAATGTCTTTTGTACCTGTTTCATGTCACATAATAGCTTTCTTTTCTTCTGTAGGATAGCAAGTGGTTCAAATATAAGCTTGTTGCGACTAAAATTGCATGCATGTTTTTCACTAAAAAGTGAAAAATCTTTGTATCAGACCATACTGTCAGCAAAAAAAGTTGAATGCAAGAGTCTTTTTGTGCTCAGATTTATTGTATCATGTCACCTGAGTATAGAAATGAACGAAAAGACACAAATTTTAATTTCCTATAGCTTCAATATGCATTTTTGAATGTAAATATGTGCTACGGCCTAAATTGACCCTAAATTATTTTCAGTCTTACTTGGCCTAAGACCCTTTTAAACTAATATGATATGTTTTTTGTGAGTTTTCTTTCCATTTAAAGTACATTAAATATATATGTAAGGATTATTTATAACCAAAAAGCTTTACAAATTTAAAATTGCTGGAAAATATTACATCTTCATGTAAGGCCCCCCTTCATTGGAAAACCTCCATTTTTAGGCACAGGCTCATACAAATTTGACTTTTTAATAATTATGATAAGTCTGATAAATCAAATGAGTACTCAATTGCTTTTAATACATAATATTTTATATATTAAGGCATTTCAAAAGTATTTTTTTGCAATATTTAAATTTTTTAAGCCCCAAATGTTGATAGTTGAAATTTTTCAATTTTAATGTCTACATTTAACACGCAAAGTTGAATATAGAATTAGTCATATTGTCTATAATATATGTCCTATTGCCATGAAACTTTGTAGGCAGTCTTATAATTTATTAAGCTTTGGTCATACCTGAAGTTTCATTGAGATTGGTCAACTTTTTCTACCCTATTAGGTCCGAGTACACAGTTATCGTCCTTTGATTTTCGTTTCTCTAGTGTTGACAGTGTGTTACTTGCCATTTTTTTTATACCCCTTCCAAATTTATTTCTCCATGTTTTATGACTCAAATAGCAAGTAGGGGGGTGAAATGACACTGTAAAAAAATTTGGGTCATGAATTTTAAAGTAAAGTAGTGATTTGGTCCAGCTGAAAAATGTTAAAAATTAGCACTTCGGAAGCTGTCAAAAGATTTGAAGACCCCCTTAACATAAAATTGTCCATATTTTGAGTTAGAGCCGATGAAGTTTTCTATAATTTTGATATAATTTGTCCCAAAAGTAGTACAACACACTGTAAAAATATTATTGAGAAAGCGCAGGTGGGATTTTTTTAATTTTCATTTATTGTCTAAAAAATGCACTACGAAATAACTGTGTACTCGGACCTAAGAGGTGAAATCAGGAAATATAGAATCTGTACTTTGGCAACTTCCCTGAATGATTTGATGGTGTCAATTTGTCAAATAGCATAAAACTAAAGGATTTAAACTTTTATTTGATAGAATTTCTGCAAAAATGACCAATTTGGGCATATTATGGTCAAAATAAGCATTTCATAGCTTTTTCAATTTTGATGCATAAGTGGCATTCTGACTTTCTATCTGACAGGTTTTTATGTGTCAATATTTGTGTTTCTATGCTTCAATCCAGTTGTATTACTCATTTGTGAACTCTGAATCTACAGAAAAGAAGATTATCTCAGACAATATGTACAAAATGTGTTGTATATATGACCCTCGTCTAACACCCTGTTTGGATCAAGTTAAATGTGAGGAGCTTGGAACATAAAAGTTGAAGTCCATAATAAAGACCTCACTAAATTTGTATAAAAAGCACTTAACAATGTCTTTTGTACCTGTTTCATGTCACATAATAGCTTTCTTTTCTTCTGTAGGATAGCAAGTGGTTCAAATATAAGCTTGTTGCGACTAAAATTGCATGCATGTTTTTCACTAAAAAGTGAAAAATCTTTGTATCAGACCATACTGTCAGCAAAAAAAGTTGAATGCAAGAGTCTTTTTGTGCTCAGATTTATTGTATCATGTCACCTGAGTATAGAAATGAACGAAAAGACACAAATTTTAATTTCCTATAGCTTCAATATGCATTTTTGAATGTAAATATGTGCTACGGCCTAAATTGACCCTAAATTATTTTCAGTCTTACTTGGCCTAAGACCCTTTTAAACTAATATGATATGTTTTTTGTGAGTTTTCTTTCCATTTAAAGTACATTAAATATATATGTAAGGATTATTTATAACCAAAAAGCTTTACAAATTTAAAATTGCTGGAAAATATTACATCTTCATGTAAGGCCCCCCTTCATTGGAAAACCTCCATTTTTAGGCACAGGCTCATACAAATTTGACTTTTTAATAATTATGATAAGTCTGATAAATCAAATGAGTACTCAATTGCTTTTAATACATAATATTTTATATATTAAGGCATTTCAAAAGTATTTTTTTGCAATATTTAAATTTTTTAAGCCCCAAATGTTGATAGTTGAAATTTTTCAATTTTAATGTCTACATTTAACACGCAAAGTTGAATATAGAATTAGTCATATTGTCTATAATATATGTCCTATTGCCATGAAACTTTGTAGACAGTCTTATAATTTATTAAGCTTTGGTCATACCTGAAGTTTCATTGAGATTGGTCAACTTTTTCTACCCTATTAGGTCCGAGTACACAGTTATCGTCCTTTGATTTTCGTTTCTCTAGTGTTGACAGTGTGTTACTTGCCATTTTTTTTATACCCCTTCCAAATTTATTTCTCCATGTTTTATGACTCAAATAGCAAGTAGGGGGGTGAAATGACACTGTAAAACAATTTGGGTCATGAATTTTAAAGTAAAGTAGTGATTTGGTCCAGCTGAAAAATGTTAAAAATTAGCACTTCGGAAGCTGTCAAAAGATTTGAAGACCCCCTTAACATAAAATTGTCCATATTTTGAGTTAGAGCCGATGAAGTTTTCTATAATTTTGATATAATTTGTCCCAAAAGTAGTACAACACACTGTAAAAATATTATTGAGAAAGCGCAGGTGGGATTTTTTTAATTTTCATTTATTGTCTAAAAGAAATGCACTACGAAATAACTGTGTACTCGGACCATTACATTTTCCTCAAATCACGAAAATGGTACCAACAAAAAAATATGAATCCACAGTATGTATTACAGTCTAAAATGTACAAGCATTTTTTGAAAATTATCTAGAATCGAAGTGTTATGGACTGTAACTTGTAGTTAAAGACTGTATCAATGATATGTCATCATGTCAGCCCAAGGGTGATGACCACTGAGCTGGTATTACCCTCGGGAACGAAATGTATACCATTGCCACCAAACCAATGACTGTAATACCCATCACAGATACAAATCAGACTATTCAACACGCCAAATGCGTTAATAGAAGGTAAGTCAAATGTACATTCATTTAAGACACAAAATTAATACACGCACTTGACTACACACAGGAGGAAAAACCCTAGCATTACTGGAAATATTGCTGAGGATGTTTTAAAAAAGGAAATGATACAACCAGTGATTATGAATAATGACATGTTCAAAATACAGATTACCGTATGTATTTTTTATGCATGACAAATTTACGTCTACTGAGGCCCACACCAATGTGTACTTTTTAATTCTTTCCAGGATATACACTTTCATAAACTCTAATCCAACAAAAATGGAGGATAACTTAACTGCTTGACAACAAGATATAGAAAAGCAATCATATGAATGAGTTCACCATAATTCCTCGCTTAACTGCAATATTTATCCACGTTTATGTAATCCGATGGAAAAGACGGCACTAGCACCAGTTGGAACATTCACAACTACCTGTATCTGTATGTCATTAATTGGAATTTTATCATTTTGTTTACGTCTCCACATTGTATTTGAAATCAATTTCGGTGTTTGATGTGGTCTGTTTTACTATCAGACATTTTTGGGGATTCATGCAGTTTTGTTCGAGCGTCACTGATGAGTATTTTGAAAACGAAACGCGCGTCTTGTGTACAAAATTTTAATCCTAGGATCTTTGATGAGTTTATTGTTGAGTAGTTTTTCAGACATTTCAGTATGATGTGTTTGTGTACCGGTACAAAACAACTGATGAATAATCTGAACATCGACTGAGTGGATCTTAACTATATTTCTAAGATTTTTCGTGAGATATAATAATGCATTGACAAACAATAGCTCTTTAAAGTTAACCCCTGAACAAAAAGTTTTATAATCCAGGTAACACCTTACTGCGCATGTCCATATGTAACATCGTATACCTCGGGCTACAATAGAATGCCATTTAATTCAGCTCTCTTTGAGTGAAGATGTCTTTTCAAATTATTAAAAGGTTAGTATTCTATAATTTAGTGAGCATGTCTAACGCCCAACTCAAGGACATTCCAGTTGGTCCTGCTATACCGACACGAGAGAGCGGTGCACTTGATTCAGATGACCATAGAGTCGTTGAAGAGAACGAAAGTTATACCGCAGTGGAGGTAGAAAATAACAAGGTAGTTGAGTCATTGGACTCTTCTCATAAAGCGAGGAAAAATATTTCTTCTCGTCCAGATGATTTTATGTCGTTAGTCGACGGTACGGAAGAAGATGTTAGACAGAGCTGGTCTGACAAAGAGGATACTAGTACACAAAAACGGAAACGGGACGATTCCGTAGCTCTCAAGAAAGGTAAAATTAAACGCAAGAAAGCTGTTAATCAGTATACTTCTAGCAGTGCTGATGATAATGCAAGTAGTAGTGAATCTTCAAGTAGCTCTGAATCAGAGAGTTCAGAAGACAATGAAGTATTTGACTCCGAACCTTCTTTGTCTAAAGATAAAAAGAAAAAGTTCCATCTCATGTCACTAAGTATAAAGAGAAGTATGTTCTAAGAGGTATAAGTAAAAATACAAGACAAGATATGTCTTTGAATTGGCCTATTCCTTCTTCTAAAGGATTAAAGGCTCTGGAAACAGATAGATTATTTAGGAAAAAATATTTTCAAGGTAGAAAGTGGAATGCTAGACTAGAGAGGAGTAAAATTAATACTCAGCTACGCATACTTGATGTTATGGGTCCTCTGTTGCTTTTATGGTCTGAAGCACATCGAATTAAGAAAGGAAATCAAAGTATGGATCCTGCTGATGTTATTCAACTAACACAGAAGGCTATTGTGGTAGCAGGTAATGCTAACTATGTCTATAATACTGACAAAAGAAAAACAATGTTAGTTAAAACAATGCCAGATAGTCTAGACTTTTTAACTGAGAAGAAAGGCTAGAAAGCTTTGGCAAAATCTAAGGGACAACTTTTTGGTAACAAATTTCTTAAGTCTTTGGCTAAAGAAAACAAAGACAACAAAGAACTAAGAGAAATTTTGTTTTTTTCTAACAAAAAAAAACATGCTGGTAAACCTCACTCTAATGGGAAAAATGATCAGTTTTTTTCAGCAGGGGACCACAAACAATCTGCAGTCTGTGGGCGGCAGACAAGCTCTCCAACTACAAGTTTCAGGGAAGAGACATTGGCAGGGAAAGCAGTCAAAGAACAGACAGGGTAACAGTTATGGTCAGCGCCAGAATCAGAGTCAGAACCAGACTCAGAACCAAACCCAGAATCAACCTCAGAAAAACCAAGGGTTCAAGAAACCTGCAAACCGATAGATCGGGTAGGTCAAGAGAAAACTTCGTCATATACAAAACCTAATACAAATACCAATGAATTACATTACCAATCAAAATTCAATCTCTGTAAGGGGGAGGATAAGTCTTTTCCTACAGAATTGGAACTCAATAACAAAAGATCCTTAGGTTCTTCAGTGTGTAAAAGGAATAAAATTAGATTTCTTATCAACACTGTACCAAAATCAAATACCAAATCAAGCCTTTTTCAATCAAGAGAATCAGGAATTGATAAACAAAGAAATTACGTCGTTTGAACAAGAAAGTCATAACACAGTGTTTCTTGGAAAAGAAATTTGTTCATTAGCACGTTTTTCTGGTACCAAAGCAATCTCAGAGTACCCGCATATACTGACATCTAGTTCAAAGTCTACTTTCAACAAGTTTCCGCATCTAACGACAAACGAGTGTTAAAAACTGTCAAGTCAATCCCATTCAATGAACAGAAACAGCCTTCAGATACCTTTTAGAACGTGTTGCCTTTCAAAATTTTAATTACAAAGTAATATATGATTGAAATAACACTTTATAAATGTCGTCTGTCCGAATCGATTTCTGGATTTTAATCACCAAGAACACTCCAACTTTAACCTTTGAAACTCAAGGATGTATAAGATTAATGACTTTTACACAAAATGTCAAGATATAAACGACTAAACATTTTTTTTGCAAGTATATTATTTTTTTGTTAAGATTGTTTTCTTTTTTTTGTTGGTTTCTGTTTTCATTCATATCTAAACATGCATATCAAGTGTTATATTTAATGAACACTCGGTTTCCAATTTTTTTTATTTCTTGCGTGCGGATAAACCACAAATTTAAATGATCAACAGTAAAAACATTCTATGGGCTAAGTATGCAGACTTTGACAAAACCACGCACATAACGGACATAACGTTTTCCTCAAATCACGAAAATGGTACCAAAGAAAATTAATCCACAGTATGTATTACAGTCTAAAATTTACAACCATTTTTTGAAAATCATCTGGAATCGAAGTGTTATGGACTGTAATTTGTAGTTAAAGACTGTATCAATGATATGTCATGTCAGCCCAAGGGTGATGACCACTGAGCTGGTATCACCCTCGGGAACGAAATGTATACCATTGCCACCAAACCAATGACTGTAAAACTCATCACAGATACCATTCATACTATTTAACACGCCAGATGCGTTAATAGAAGGTAAGTCAAATATACATTCATTTAAGACACAAAATTAATACACGCACTTGACTACACACAGGAGGAAAAACCCTAGCATTACTGGAAATATTGCTGAAGATGTTTTAAAAAGGAAATGATACAACCAGTGATTATGAATAATGACATGTTTAAAATACAGATTACCGTATGTATTTTTTTTTGCATGACAAATTTACGTCTACTGAGGCTCACACCAATGTGTACTTTGTAATTCTTTTCAGGATATCCACTTTCAAAAACCCTAATCCAACAAAAATGGAGGATAACTTATCTGCTTGACAACAAGATATAGAAAAGCAATCATATGAATCAGTTCACCATAATTCCTGGCTTAACTGCAATGTTTATTCACGTTTATGTGATCCGATGGAAAAGACGACACTAGCACCAGTTGGAACATTCACAACTACTTATATCTGCATGTCATCAATTGGATTTTTATCATTTTGTTCACGTCTCCACATTGTATCTGAAATCATGTTTCGGTGTTTGGTGTAGTCTGTTTTACTGTCAGATATTTTTTGGGATTCATGCAGTTTTGTTCGAGCGTCACTGATGAGTCTTTTGAAGACGAAACGCGCGTCTGACGTACAAAATTTTAATCCTGGTATCTTTGATGAGTAGTTTGTTTTAGAGATTTCAGTATGATGTTTATGTGTAGCGGTACATAACAGTAATAAACAGTCTGAACATCGACTGAGTAGATCTTCATTGACTGATAGCGATTTGATTGAACAGTACTGACCTTACTGCAGTGGATAAGTCTGAACATTGACTGAAAGACTAAAATTGACTAAAAGAATTTTTGTTCAGTCTTATTAGATTTGTTAAGATAAACATGACCGTTTCAGATCAAATTGGGATGTGTTCCTTACATAAAAACTGCTCCAACAGAGTTATGAAGAAGAACGACTAAAATCGACGGTACATAAGTACATGTTTTTGCGGTCTTAGATCTTTAGATACCAGTATAGTCGTCTGATTTGTAATTTTACCGATTGTGCCCTGTTCCCGATTGTGACATTTTGACTGAGCGTGGATTCGCATGGCAAGTGGTACATGCATAACAAGTGACGCTTACCTTGTAGCCGCACTCGGTCTCAACTGTAAAATTCTGTCTCCTTAATTTTCTAAGGAGTATACCAATGTGACCACATCTAATTGCTTATTTTATCTACTTTTACAAGGTTTTCTCAATCCAGGAGGATTAATGCTGATAAAATGTTTGAAGAGCGAGTAATAGAAAATAGAAACCAAAGACAGCTTGGAAGTAAAAAACCTGACGCACAAAATGATGTTGAAAATAAGTGAAAAATAAAAATAAATATACATGCAGTATTGCCTTTAAAAGATGAGATCGTTGCAGCAACGATTTAAAGTAAACATTTGTGCGCACCAAAAATAGCCACCGTTCAATAATCTAAAGTGTAAAAAGACAATGTGTACTTATTGAATTGAATTCCCTCCTTCTTTATTTTGTTCTTTAATTTTGTTATACGTTTTAAGGTAATAATTAAAGTAAAATAACTTTAAATGTTAAAAAAATTCTTTACACTTTTTTTTCACGGGAGAAATGAATTCGACAAACAAATGTGTGCCTGTTCCTGGCCTGTAGTTCAGTTGTTGTCGTTGGTTCATGTCTGTCATATTTGTTTTTCGTAAATTGTTTTGTTATAAATTAAGACGTTAGTTTTCTCAATTGAATTGTTTCATATTTTTCATTACGGGGCCTTTTATAGCCGACTATACGGTATGGGTTTTTCTCAATGTTGAAGGCCGTACGGTTGCCTCTAATTGCTTACATCCACTTCATTTTTAACTTTGGTGGATAGCTGTCTCATTGGCAATCATACCACATCTACTTATTTTTATAAAAGGACAAATTTAGACAACCCAGGGGTCAAGAACACAAAACAAAAGTAAAAAAGGTCCTTGACATATGATCAGATATCTTTTGGTTATTTTTGTCGTTGGGATACTGTCTTCTTGACGATTACCCGATATGTCCTTTACCTATATAGTTTTTTTTATTTTGCCTTTGATATTCTACATAATAAAATATCCAACTTTTTGTTGTCTTCTATCCAAATGTAACTTCCGAACAATGAGATAGTTGAATATTAATCAATGACACGTTATTGTTTTTTTTTTACAAAGGCACATATATATTTCATGTATTGTTTTATCATGGCAATATGTAACGCCTAAATTTTGTGTCGTTGTCATGTATCCAACATATCCCTTATTTTATTTTATGTTTGTAACAATCGAAACATTAGTTAGACTTTTAGTTTTTTCTACAATTAAATCATTAGCAACCACACATACGTATGTAAACGACTAGCAGCTGTTCAAAACAATCATGAACATTTCAGTATACCGTCAGATCAATTCTAATCGTAATATTTTATTTTAAAAAGTCTCCAATGTCGACGATACAAGCATGATATATTTTGCTTTTATAGCATACTTGAAAAATCAAGATACCTCATCGATTGAGTTTTCTATATGATTGCACGATTCAAAATTTGTTTCATTCGCAATATTATCTAGTTCAGAGTAAGATAATACTTTATCAAGGTCTTGGCCTCTTCTTTTATAAAAACATCTCTAAACATTTATTATTTTTTCAAATGAAACATAAGGATTTAAACATATAAAGAAGTTTTTAAAAGTAATCATAAAAACCTCTCTGCAAAGAGCTTTTATTTTGGCAATGAAAATGTGTACTTTATGATTATGTCACTCCCCACTCAAAGGCCTCTAACACACTGTAGTTGTGTTACATCATTGTTTTGGATAGATATATTTTAGATAGCCAGTGACGAATACTATGAATATGAAGATAACAACATATTGGGTACGCAGAACTAAAATGTTTGATATGTCTGTCCTATAAAATGGCGTCGACACATTATCGACATATTCGTTGTAAGTATATCCTTGATTCTTTACATGATTAGTATCTTGCTTAAAATTTATACTCTACGATGGACTTTGACAGTTTGTGACGTTGATAACTGTCGCATTGACATAATTTGAACTTAAAACTTTATTTCCGATCCACTGAAAATAATAAGTTTGCAGATATCCTGAATTTATAGGATAGTTACTCATTTGTGGATATCTTCCGCTTCTGGCAGGATTTGCCCTATCCGTTTAATTGGGTCTCTGTCTCCTAAGTAATGCTTTCAGTGGTCGAAATAAGATATTTCGTTCTTGCCAGGAAAACAGGCTAAGCTGAACTTAAACGTAACAGTTTTTTTGACAATATTTGACAAGGTAATCAAATATATAATTTTTATAACTGCTAAGGGACCGGTCATCATTTATCTCCTGGGTTGGGGGCGGCAAAATGTAAATTTGAAATGAGCAAATATAATTGACCCCCCCCCCCTTTTCAAAATGTGTTAAAAAATTTAACCTCCCCTCCCCCTTTCAACAACATAAAAACTTTTGACCCCCCCCCCCCCTCAATTAAGGTATTTTAATAAACATACACAGAAAAATGCATTGAGGACAACAACAACCGATAGAAGGATACCCTGATGTAACTTCACAGTCTTTAACAAGCCAATGCCCTTGGTTTGAAGAAACAGTGTTAAGATCAGCATTATGATTGATATTTTAAATCACAAATTTGGTATTGAAAAAATACCCTTTAATATAATAAAATTGCTCTATAATAAAACAAAATCATGAGACAGTATATCATATAGCGCAAATCTTATTAAGTTAAACAAAATATTGATTTATAGTGAAGATTCCAACACCAAAGTTAGTTTTTCCAAACAATTGAATGAATACAGACTTGGACCAAAAGTATTTCCAAAATGTAAAAATTTCCTATATATTTTATATAAAACCAGACTTTAAAAAGTGGCATATTTAGCCCATTCGTCATTCAATGATATGCACCATCTAGTCAAACTCAAAACTAATTGGAGTTTTAATTGCAATACTCATAGAAGAAGACCCTATATTAGTACTGAACGAATAACAATGAGATGAAGAACAACGATCAAGAGTTGTTGACGTATTTTCTAAACTATGTTGAAGTCCTTCCTTTAATCTCAAAGTGATTAAAAATTGTTCTAGAGTTGTCTCTCTTTGTCTGTTGCTAATTGTAATTCACAAATACCAAAATTAAAATACTACAGACTTTCTGTATATTATACTCATTTGTGTAGAGGTTCCATCCTCTGTTTTTCCTTTATAACTTTTACAACTTATACAAAAACAATCATTCTAATTACACATACATTTTATTACACCAACTTGTATTTACATTTTCATGACTAGAATATACATTTTTACTTTGTGGCATTACTTTGGCTACAGAGTATTCTATAATATTTTGTTGAGGCGCCAGGGTGACTACCGATTACCTATACACAATGGCTATCAGCTGACCTATGTTGACATAGTGTCATAAAACCCCTGGTAGTTAAACACGGTTACACCACCACCTACCATGGGGAGTGACCGGGGAAAACACTCGTATTACCAATGCTCCAGTTATTAGTGCCCCACCTGTTGGCAGGTGTAGGCCTCCCCTCTATAAGATGAGGCGGAGGAGGTCCCAGAGTTACCCATCTGTAGACCCCACCGTTACCACTAACCACATTTTCCAAACCTGCAAATTGTAGAACTTGTCAGGCCCAGAGCAAGGGCCGAGTGAAATAATCCCCCAATCACTACCAGTCTCCCTGGACCGCCACATGAGAGCCCAAGTCAGCTACCAAATCTGACTTGGGTTCTCACCTCCACAAAATTTACATTATTGAAGCATTGGAAAAGTTGAAATTGTTGTGCGTAGGAAAGACTCAACCCCTCCTTGTATATTATTTAAGAAAACCTGATTTCCAGTTTGTGATAAATGAGTTCCATCTGTTCTGTATAAAGACACATCACTTGCCCTAATATTCTCATGTAAAATAGCTTTCCCCCCATTTTCTATTACAAAGTTTTTGACCACTGAATTCACTCTTTTTCTCTTCTGTTCGATTATTGCACCCGCATTCAAGGGTGCAAAATGCCAGTATCTGCGCTTTAGCATTGAAGACCATATTATAATAACATTTTTAAATAAAGCCTGGTAACGTAGGATAGAACATTTTACATTTTCAATTAAACCCTTCCCTGTCAATTCTAAATCTGTCAAATCATTAGCTCCACAGTGAATAATAATAAAATTAGGAGAAGGTAAAAATTTTCTATTTGCATCCAGTACGGAGTCTAAATCTTTAATCTGTAAACCAGGTTGCCCAATCCAATATGTTGTAACACCTTTGGACTCCAGTCCCAGGTTGGTCCTACCATATTTCTTCGCCTCTACATTGGCCCAATGAACAAGGGAACTTCCAACAATCCATAAAATCTTGGGACCTGTGAAAACTTGTAGCTTGTTAGCCTTTTGAAACTAGAAAAATTGCAACTAATATAGCGAGAATAAGCATGCGATTTCCATCTGCCTAATTTCATAATTACCTCCTCTGAGACTCCCTGCCTGGCTAGTTCCGTGGCTCCCCCAATTATAAAACTATGTGACCTAAAATGATCTTTACTAATATGAAGAAAATGTAAAGCCTTTTCCAGTATACTGCTGAATTGGTATCTAGTTAAAGGCATACCATTATAATGAATAAACAAATCTTTATTATTACAGGTAGGTCGTACCTTTAAGTATTCGTTCGTGAGTCGTATCGGACAGTAGTTTTTTCTGTTCTCAGGTATCAATAAAGTAACGGACTTTCCCTTTTGGTCAGTTTTTGACCACCTTACCCTTAGCTCCAGGACTTTTTTCTTAACTAAAATATCAGAAATTGTTAAGTTGGAGCCATTTATAACAGACTTAGTTTTTGAAGTAGTGATTTCCCCTACCCTTAGCAAACCAAAGAAGGCAACTGAAAAAACTACTGAAAATAAAGCAGCTTCATATTTATTCTTACATACTTTATCTAAACAACCTATCATATCTGCTAACAATTGCACTGTAATTGGTGCTCTAATGTCATTACGTTTCCCTCCTTGAATTCTTTTTATTCCTTCTAATGCCTTGCCAATTATTAAGAATTTTGTAGTATCCTGTATGCCTTGTATTTTATGATGGTATGAAACTCCTGATATATAAGATGATATGGTACCCCCAGAAAGACCTTGTACTGACAAAAAAGCTATGAAATTTAGCAAATCATTGACTGGCACTGGCCAATGCTGTTTCAATTTGTAAGATGATCTAAAATTACAAAGTTTTGACAGAGCCAAATTGTATGATTTTTGTGTATTTTTGGACACACCTTGATTGACAATATAATCCGCCACCTGACTTAAATGTTCCAGATCTGTGTTGGAATTTTGGTTGGCCACTGGTCTGCTTCTGGAGCTAGGCTTCTGAACTTCCCCCACTGAGAAAGAGAAAGACAATCAGCAATTTGGTTTTGTCTTGAAGGGATATAAATTGCCTTAACTGACGTATTGTTTTTTAAGTTCATTAAAACCATTTGTCTTACTAAAGTCATAACTCTACTTGATTTGCTACTTTTCATATTAATGATTTGAACAACCGCCTGATTATCAACATGAAAAATAACTTTTTTGTTAACAAAATATGATTCCCAGGACATAAGTGCTGCTACAACTGGAAACAACTCTAACAATGTCATATCTCTGGTGATTCCAGTTTCAACCCAATGTTTTGGCCATATGCCTTGGGCCCACTGACCTGCAAAATAGATCCCATACCCACCTTTGGACCCCCCTGCACTATCTGTGAACAACTCTAATTTTTCGTTTGAAACCCATACATTGTCGGTTATTACAGTGACACCATTGTATTGTTTTAAAAAGTCTAACCAAACTTCTAAA